CCTAGGAATGGCTGGTGAATTTGAACCACCAACTTTGTGGTTAGCAGTCCAGGGCTTATCCTACAGCACCACATCAGGAATCCTGAGTGAAATAAATCAATCACAAAAGAACAAATCTTGTATGAGATCACTGTTGTAAAAAGTTTTATGCTAAAAGAAACATTCTATGATGGTTACCAGGGGTAGGAGGGAAGGGAAACTTATTCACTGGAGGGTACATGTTAACTTGAGTGATGGGAAAGGCAATATGTAAGAGGAAGGTTGGCATAGGAAAGAGGAAGGTAGTGGCAGACACAGAAAGGAAGGTAAGAGCTAAAGTGAATAGAGGCAAATACTGTTAACTGACAGTACATTGAAGGGATTGCAATCATTGTAATGACCTGAAGTGTATGATTTGTTGAATGTGGACTGATGATCTTTTCTGGAAACTTTCATTCAATTCAAAGTTGAAAAACAAAACAGATAAGTGCTGAACTGAGAGAGAGCATCTGCAATGTAGTTAACAAAGTCTTTCTATTTGGAGCATATGAGGAGCTCTGAAAAGTGGAGAACACAAAAGAATGTGGGCAAAGGAGATGACTAGAAAATTCACATAATTCAAACAGTCAATAAACCTGTGAAAAGATGTATTACTTTTGAGAAATGTACATTCACGCAGGGATGAGTTTCACTTTCTTCCTCTGGCTTCCAGAACCCCATCCTGGCCTGATTTTCTTCCTGCCACATGGCCCCACTTCCCGAGTTTCATTTTGATTCTTTTATGAACTCTGTAGAATAAACACTGAACTGCAGACCATAAAGTGGAGAAAGATGAGACTTTCTGCTCCCACAAAGATCTACTGCCTCGGAAACTCTATACAGGGTCACTTAGAGTTGGAAACTACTAGAAGGCACTTATCAATAACAATAACAACATTAGTAATAAGGAGGCCTAGTTGTGTAGTGGATTGATTACATGTTGGGCTGCTAACCTTTAGGTAAGCAGTTTGAATCCACTAGCCACTCTGCAAGAGAAAGATAAGGCAGGCAGGCTTTCTGCTCCGGTAAGGATTTACAGCCTCAGAAACCCTATATGGAGTAACTAGGTGTAAGACTTGATGGAACCCACCCACCACCAAATTTAGTACTTACTTCTTTCTCTACACCCAATTAATTGCTTGAAACCTCATCCATCCCAAATCCTCTGTCTAGCCCCCTTTCCCTTTGCCTTCTGCTCATGTGTTACTGTTTGCTGTAAAAGATTCTTAAAAGATATCTCAATACATTAGTGGTTTTAAGAATGTATCTTTTTTATGTGCTTGGTGTTTGCTGCCAAGATAACAATGAGAACATCATACAGGAAGAAAGTAAAAGATCATTAGACAGACAGGAAATAAAGAAAAGACCAAAACGGATGTCAGAAGAGACTCTGAAACTTGCTCTCCAGCATAGAAATGCTAATGCAAATGGAATAAGGAAGTCAAAGAGCTGAACAGAAAATTTCAAAGGGTAGCTCTAGAAGACAAAGTCAGTATTATAATGAAATGTACAAAAACCTGGAGTTAGAAAATCAAAAGGGAAGAACATGTTCAGCATTTCTCAAGCTGAAAGAACTGAAGAAAAATTCAAGCCTGAACTTGAAATATTGATGGATTCTATGAGCAAAATGTTGAATGATGTAGAAAGCATCAAAAGAAGATGGAAAGAACATACAGAGTCACTGTACCAAAATGAAATGGTAGATGTTCAACCATTTCAAGAGTTAGTATATGACCAATAACCAATGGTACTGAATTCAGGAAGAAGTCCAAGATACACTGAAGGTATTGGCAAACAACAAGGTTACAGCAGTTGATTGAATACAAATTGAAATCTCTCAAAAAACTGATGCCACACTGGAGGTTTTCATTAAATTATGCCAAGAAATTTGGAAGACGGTTATATGGCCAATCACTTGGAAGAGATCCATATTTGAACCCATCCCAAAGAGAGGTGACCCAATGAAATGCTAAATTCAAACAATATCATTAATATCACATGCAAGTAAAATTTTGCTAAAGATAATTCAAAAGCAGCTGCAACAGTACATTGACAGGGAACTGCCAGAAACTCAAACTAGATTCAGAAAAGGATGTAGAACTAGGGATATCATTGCTGACATCAGATGGGTCTTGGTTGAAAGCAGAGAATACCAGAAAGATGTTTTCTTGTGCTTTATTTGACTGTGTGGATCATGGCAAGCTATGGATAACATTGTGAAGAACAGGCATTCCAGATCACCTGATTACACTCATGAAGAATCTATACATAGACCAAAAGGCAATCGTTTGAACAGAGCAAGAAGATATTAAATGGTATCAAATCAGGAAAGTTGTATGCCAAGCTTGTATTCTTTCATCATACTTAATTCAATCTGTATGTTGTACAAATAATCTGAGAAGGTGGATTACATGAAGACGAGCATAGCATCAGGACTGGAAGAAGATTCATTAACAACTTGCAATGTGCAGATGATACAACCTTTCTTGCTAAAAGAGAAGAGGATTTAAAATACTGATGAAGATCAAAGACAGCCTTCAGTATAGGTTGCACCTCAATGTAAAGAAAACAATAATCCTTACCACTGGAACAATAAATAACATCATGATAAATGGAGAAAAGACTGGGGTTGTTAAGATTTCATTTTGCTTGGGTCCACAATCAACGCTCATGGGGCAGCAGTCAAGAAATGGCTTATTGCACTAGGCAAACCTGCTGCACAAGACCTCTTTAAAGTGTTCAACCTTTGACCACCCTACAGGTTCAGGAAAGAAATACATCCTCATGGCCCAATTTTCAGTTAAGTAGTAGATAGGTATATAAGGGGAACAATACTAGTGGCTCATCATGGAATGATCAGTCACTCAAAATCAAAAGAGCAATTATTTACCTAAGGACAAAGTTGAGAGGGGATGGGAAGGTGGATGTAATGGAAATAGGAATCACAGGGAGGAAGTGGAACAACTGTTACTGTACGGAGGAGATTGCAATCATTGAGATGAAACAAAATGTATGATTCATTGAATATAAAACTGATGATTTTGTCTGTAAACCTTCACTCAATTCACAATAAAAAGTTAAAAAAATAAAACGTTCAAGAGCAAAGATATCAATTTGAGGATTAAGGTGTGCCTGACCCAAGTCATGGTATTTTCAGTTGCTTTATATGTATGTGAAAGTTGAACAATGAATAAGGAAGACCATAGAAGAATTAATACATTTGAGTTACGGTGTTGTAGAAGAATATTGAAAGTATCATGGATAGCTAGAAGAACAAACAAATCTGTATTGTTTGTTCAGAAGTACAGCTATAGTGCTCTTCAGAAGGAAGGCTGGTGAGACTTCGTCTCTCATGCTTCGGACATGTTATCAGGTGGAACAGTCCCTGAAGAAGGACATCATGTTTGATAAAGAGGAGGGTCAGCAAAAAAGAGGAAGACCGCCAACAAGATGGATTGGCACAGCGGCAGCAGCAATGCACTCAAACATAACAATTGTGAGGATGAGTCGCTATGAATTGGAACACACTTGATGGCACCTAAGAACAAAAAGAATGTGTCTGGTGCAGGCATATATTCTTGTGTATATGCATGACAGTTTTGGGTGCAGACACATACAATTTAAGGGTTGTTATTGTTAAGCGTTGTCAAGTCAGTTCTGACTCATAATGATCCTGTATGGGGTTTCTAAGGAGTGGCTGGTGGGTTTGAATTACTGATGTTGGGGTTAGTAGCCCAGTACTTATCTTAAGTGCTCAACCAGGACTCCAAAGTAAGGGTTGTTGTTGTTAAGTGCTGTCAAGTGGATTCCAACTCATAGCAATCCTACATAGGGTTTCCAAGGAGCAGCTGGTGAGTTTGAACCAATAATCTTGCAGTTAAAACCAGCCTTGTGGTTGAGTGCTTCTCCTATAGCACTACATAGGACTCCCACGTATGGAAAAGCCCAGAGAGTGACACACTGAGATTTCATCAAGGTTTCTGTATTGTGGGATTCCTAGATCTTTTAAAATGTAAATTTAAAAGACCATCAAATAAATTTTAAATAGCAATATTGCATATAACAAGAATCTAACATGTGAAAACAGGGGTTGCATGGATTTTATGCAGATTACAATCCATCCATAAACTGGAACATTAAGTTGTGGTTGGGCACCTTCAAGTTGGCTTCAACTCACAGCAAACCTCTGCACAGTAGAAGGAAATGTTGCCCAGTCCTGCTTTATTCTCACAATTGTTATATTTGAGCCCATTGTTGCTTCCACTGTATCAATCATCTCCGTGAGGGTCTCACCCTCTTTTTCGCTGATTCTCTATTTTCCTAAGCATGATGTTCTTCTCCAGGGACTGGTCCCTCCTGATACCATGTCCAAAGTACATTGTCATCATTAAGCACCATCAAGTTGGTTTTGACCCAGAGCGACCCTCTATAGCATTTCCAAGGAGCAGCTGGCGAGCTTGAACCACTAACTTTGTGGTTCAAGCTGACTTTGTAGTCTGGTGCATTTGCCCACAGCAGCACACCAAGACTCCCCAAAGTACACAGAGAAAGATTTATCATGCTTACTTTTAAGGAGCTTTCTAGCTATATTTTTTCCAACACCAAGTTGTTTGTTCTTCTGGCAGCCATGGTGCATTCAATATTCTTTGCTAACACCATAATTCAAATTCATCAATTCTTCTCAGGCCTTCCTTACTCATTGTCCCGTTTTCACGTGCATACAAGACAATTGAAAATACTGTGGCTTGGGTCACCCACACCTTAGTCATCAAAATGACATGGTTTCTGCTTAACACTTTAAAGAAGTCTTTTGTAATAGATTTGCCTAATGCAGTATGTCATTTACTTTCTTGATGAACACTGATTGTGGATCCTAGCAAAACGAAATCTTTCACAACTTCATTTTTTTTCTCAAGATGTTATTGGTCCAGTTTTGAGGATTTTCGTTGTTGTTGTTTTTTCTTTTCGGGGACGGTGGAAGCATGGGGGAAGAAGAAGGGGCCGGGCAGGAAAGGTAGAGAAAAGCAGGCGAACTGGCAACATTTTTTGTTTTGAGGGGCAATCCATATTAAAGGTTGTAGTCTTTGATCTATATCAATAAGGATTTCAAGTCCTCTTCCCTTCCAGCAAGCTAGGAACATTATACAACCATTAAAAACCATGTTGGCAATCATATTTACCAATATGGCAACATTCTCATCACTTGATGCCAGGTAAAATAGCAGGAGATGCCAGATAGACAGTAAGTCTGACTGCCAGTTTCATATGAAAAAAAGAAAGCTGTATGCGTCCAGCGAAAAGACTGTAAGGAAACGTATCCAAATGTTCCCTGCGCACTTCCTAGATGTTAGGTCTCCGTTTCCTCAATAAACGTGGGTTACTTTTATCTTAACAAAAAAACAGTTGCTATTCTTTTTAAATAGCAAGTTGCTGCCCAACTCGCGCAGAGTCCTGACCCCTGGTCTTTGGAAAAGTAGTGGCCGAGTGGTTGCCAGACGCCCGAGCCTAGGTGGGTCCCTCAGGCCGCAGCGCCCCACCGTGGCTGGTCCGAGTGGTGGGGTGGGGTGGGGGAGCGGGAGAGAGGGGGGTGGTAGAAGGAAGGCGGGGAGGCGGTGCTCTTCGTCCCCGCGCTTCCCGCGAGATCCCGCTCCGTCCGCTCCGCCCCGCTCACCGCGCTCCTCGAGCCCCGCGCCGCGCCACTTCCTGCCTTCGGTGCCCGCCCGCCAGCCCTTGCTTGCTGCCCGTCGCCCCCGGCCGGCGCCGCAGTCGCCGGCGCCCCCGGAGGTGCCCCC